TATATATAATTTTGAAATTAAAATTGTTCTTTGGATAAACTTGTGTTGATCATGTTGGGGCTTGTACTCCGAACTAGAAATTTTGATAAACTTTTTTATATGGTTTGTTACAAATGCACAAATAAGAATTTTATGTACGAAAAATTTTTATTTTTTAATAAGTATGAGCATGTATATAGATATCAATGAGAAGATGCAGTCATGATTAGTGCTTAATTATTTTTGGTGTAATATCATGCAAGTCCTACTGAGCTTTGTAACTCATAAAAAAATTTTACAGATGATTTTCAGATCAATCTACAAGACATGAAATTCGCTGAAGACAGAAAGGTCTTAGATATTGCTGTCTTTTGCAATAGATTAAGTCAAGTTTTTCCTTAATATATTATTATATCATGTAGAAATTTTTCCAAGTATATAACCTTTTGTATGCCATTGTAATAAAATGTTTAGTTCTTTGTGTTTAACACTGAAGACATACAAATGGGGGTTTAAACAAGCCGAACACTAGTTGAGCCAACACGAGCGAGCCCAGGCTCAACTCGTGTTCGGCTCGTTTATATTTCAAGCTCAAAAAGTGTGTTCGTGTTCGGCTCGTTTGCTTAGCGAGCTGAACACGAGCCGTTCACGAACAAAGAGTCGTTATGAAAACCCTAATCACGTAGTCATAAGATATTAAAGATTGGGAAAAGATTTAAGACATCATTTGAATTTAATTTAATATTTTTTATTCTATTTTCTTAATTAATACTTTTAATTGATTATAAATCTTTATAGTCTTGTAGTTAATTAAACTTTTTAAAAATACTACAAAAATTTAATTAATTAGTAGTATTTCGAGCCAAAACGAGCTGAATGCAAACGTACAAATATTTATTCGTGTTGTTCGTGTTCCGCTTCGGATCGTTAACTTAGCGAACGAGCCGAACACGAGCTTCTTAACGAGCCGAACACGAGTGACAACCCTACATACAAATAGTTTAAAGAAAATATCTTAGTCTAGTTAATTTGTTTTACTTAATGAAAGAATGTAACATGAGTTATTTAATGAACATGCAGCCATACATATGCCAGTCGCACCTTCAATTCTTCTTTGTTCGAGTGCTTAGATCGAGCCCTACCTGAAACCTCGCATATGCCCTAGCTATGAGCCTCTCCTTTCTCTGTTTGTACAATTAAGTTATGATACAATCGCGGCTAGAGGCAATTGAGAAGTTAACAAATGAGATTATTGTACACGAAGACGCTGAAATTCCCAATTTCCCTGTTACCCAACCCTAACCAAAGCCCACCTTTCTTCTTGTTCGAATCACAGAGATCGTG